TCGACCTGGTGGTGGTGGAGGGATGGGAGGAGCAGGCTTGGGGCCGACGCAGGGGAGGAGTGGGCCTAGGCCCAAGGGTGGGAGGGCCTGCTCAGGCTCAGTCCTCCTCTCCCCCACCCCCATGTCAGGCTCTGGCCCACTCCCCCCCTCTCCCCATTGCCACTGCCACCACCACAGGATGCCTGCTCCTCCCTGCTCCATGTTGGGCCGGCTCCCCCCCCCCCCCACCGCCGCTGTGTCAGCCCTGCAGGCGGTGACGACTGAAGAGGGGAGGGGCAGGCCGAGGCCAGCGCCGGTAGCCTGGCCCCCCCATGGTGTCCCAACCACGCCCCCCTGCTGCTGTTACCTCCAAGGAGCAAGGGGTGGGGCGAGGCCAGCTTTGGTGGCCTCACCCCCTCCTCTGCTCCATCATCACCACCTGTAGGGAGCAGGGCAGGGGGGGTGAGACCAGCACTGCTGGCCTCGATCCCTGTTCCATCTGTTTTGTTACTACCTCCAGCTGCACTGACCTTGCCCCACCCCCCGCTCTGTCCCCTGTGTCCCCACCATCATGAGGGCACGCTGCCACCTGTCCAAATGCTTTTTTCAACTCTTGATTGGCTGTTTGTTATCCAATCAGAGCACAAATAAAGCGTTATGGACAGACAGACAGAAAGACTTAGGCTTTTATAATATTAGATAATTCCCTATATTTATGTGTTTGGGGGACAATTTTCTAGAATTACCAGAGCTGTTAAGTTCTTTAATTTACAGACCTATGACCTTTTCAGTATACTTCTCTGAGCCCTCCACATGTGGTAGGAAGAGTAAAATTACAATAAAACAATTATCAGAAAAGAGATCCACTTAATATAAAGGGTGCTAGGGACCTGGATGAATAAACTGTGAGGCTTTCTGGGTTTTAGAAAACCTTCCTAGCTCTCTTGCACTGTCTTATGTTAAATGGATGTTAAAAATACAGTGGGAACTACATGCAACTTGTAGATAATCTCCCAGAGGGAGGAAATTCAAAATAAGGTGTGAATTTTCACCCCACCATCTGTGTCTAGAGCTCTTTCTACACATTACAGGTATTGCACAACCAGTTGATTAACTGCACAATTACCTTGAAGCCAGCAACGTGTGCAAAGTACTTATCATGCCATATAAAGCTCCAACCAACTATAAAGGTAGACCTTGAAAATGTGTACTAACTTTATAGCTGGTTGCTATTGAGCTTTAATTTGTACCAGTAGCAGACCCTGTCATTTGGTCCTGTCAGCTGACGGGGCTCCCAGATGCAGGGGTGCTGCAAACACTGAGTCCTGACAGTGTGTCTCCTGGTGCTAGGACCCAGTTGGGTCATGGCAGCTGCAGGGTGTGGCTGCTGTCTCCCAGCCCTGGGGGTGCATGGAGCCCCTCCAGGACTGTGAAATTGCAGTTGCTGTCAGAGCCATCCCTGGAGGGGTGCAAATCAGGGTGACCACTCCAGGCCCTGTGCTTTGGGGGCCTCCACGGAGCTGGGTGGAGCAGCCACAATGACTCTGTGCTGCCGCCACTTGCTTCCAGTCCAACCACTCACTAGCCCCCTCCCCCTCGGCTGCCAATGCAGCTGCTATCAATGGCTGCAGCAGCTTCTTTGGGTCCGGGGAGGGTGGGATTGGAGTGGCAGCGGGGCCCTGCATAGGCTGATTTGTCCTGGGCCCTGCACTCTGCTCAGGTTGGATCCTGCTCTGGCTGCTATTGTCTTCCAGCTTGTGGTGCACCCCTGAGACTGGAAGATCCTGGCAGCTGCATCACCGAGCCACAAGAGTGTATGGGGTGTCCCTGTGGGTGGGAGTCCCTCAAGTGAGGGGACTCCGAGCCATAGGACCCACCCCTTCTGAACAGTTTCCCCCCCCACACAATCCCCCACACCTCCACAGTCCCTCCACCCACAGTCCCCCCACGTGGGGGTGGGAGGGACTGGAGGTATGGGGGGACTGTGGGTGAAAGGACTGTGGGGGTGTGGGGGATTGTGTATGTGGGTATGGGGGGACTGTGGGTGGAGGGACTGCTCAGGAGGGGTGGGTCCTCTGCCCACCCCCCCTGCTCAGGACATAGCACCCCCTGCTCAGTGCACAGTCTCCCTGCATGGCCCATAGCTCCCCCACAGCAGCAGCAGCAACAGCAGCAGCAGCAGCAGCAGCAGCAGTGGCTATTAGGGCACTCATGACCTGCTACTGACTGGCAGAGCCCCCTGGCAGCACAGCATGGCCCCGGCTGCCTGGTGTCAGATTGGCACCACATGCAGGAGACGTGCACTCTTAGGTTCAGCTGGGTCCTGCCTGGCCCAATGGCACATGGGGCAAACCCCTCAAACCCCTTCCCACAAACCCCACGCCCCTCCCCTACAACACTATATCCCCCCTACAAATCACACCCTGTGTGTCCAGCCACCAAATGGGATGGGACGGGACCTGCTGGCAGGAGCAACTGCCACACTTCAGCCCTGCCCCATGCCCACACTGGTGTTGGGGCATGGAGTCCCCGCCTGGGTATGCTCCTGGTCCTAGGAACCACTTGGGTGTGTGATGAGCTGGGGGCAGGTGGAAGCAGGGGTGTGTGTGAGAGAGAGAGAGATGGGGGTTGGGGATGGGGGAGCACTCCAGATAGGAGAAGCCCCCAAAACTGGGCTTAGAGACCCTCTGCCCCCCTAAAGCAGCTTGCGCAGGGGGAAGCTGGCCTGGGAGGAAAGGGGTTGCCCAGCTTAATCCCTGAGTCCCAGTCAAAGGCTTTCCAGGAATGGTGTGGGCACAGGCGCAAGGAGCAGAACAGCAAGGGCTGGGACTGCTCACAGCCACAAAGCAGAAGGTGGTACAGCTGCAGCTGGACTCACGTCCAGGTGTTGGGACAGAGCTGTGGCCAGGAGGGAGCTAGTGCAGGGCAGGCAGAGGCTGTGGATCAGGAGTAAGGGGCACTCGAGTGTGGGTGCCTGCAGAGAACAGGCAAAATCCTGTTAGTGGACAGTGGGCCCAGAGACTGAGTGAATCCACTAGGCACCAAAGAGATCATTCCAGGACTCAGAGGCAGTCTCCCAATCAATATAAAAGGAACATCAAGGCATGGCAGGAGAGATAGAAAGGTGGGTTATATGGAGGACCTGGAGTAGATGTAGGACTAGGATGGCCCACAGGGGACTTCAGGGTCTTCCCTGCCACAGCACCTCAGTTGAGAGTCATAGCCTTACAGGCTGTTTTTCATTCTGCATGGTCACTCAGCAATGAACCTGATCTTCACATTCAGTGGAGGGAGCTGGAAACTTGAGTAACTAAGAAGAGAGCCCAGTTCTGATACCCCTCATCCTAGTTCTGCATGTGCTCATATGCACCATGTGTTAACCCAGCGATTGTTGCCTGGAGTCAAGAATATAAAAATATTAGATTTGGTCTTGTGTGGACCTGAGTGCTGTTCAGTTTGATGAGAATGTCTGAGATGGGAAAACAGACAGACAATTTTCAGTAGTGACTTAATTATTCTTGAAGCATCTGAATGAACAGCCTATCAGTTTTTGAGTGCACTATGAAGACAACAAGGGTATTTTTAAAAAAATTTCAGATTTCCATTTTTTGGGCACAATTTATGCTCACATTTTTTCCATATACAGTTCAATTGCTGGCCTGATTGCATCCTAAAAAAAGGTAGGCAGGCTGCAGCACATGCAAAAATGTTATCCAAAAAGAACTTGGATGTGTAAAAATGTACAAGATAAGATTGTAATACATGACAAGATAAGATTTTTTTATATAGAAAGGATAAAGGTTTGTTCCTTTCTTACCGTGACTGAAGACTTTTAATTCTGCACAACATATCCAGGTGACCAGCTGAATACTGTTCAATGACGTCTTTTACATCATATGGACGTAATGTCTCTTTAAATTTTCTTTTTGCAACATGAAATTTCATGATTCTATGGAAGAAACATTTTCTAGATTAATTGACATACACTTTTCTGAAGTCATAAAGCCACTGGTCACCTCTATCTAATCACAATACAGGCAGCTGACTTATTTTAAAATCATCTAAACCAAGGAGTTTTTCTTCTGAACTGCAGTTATACCCAGCGAGACCCTTATAACTACTGAGGTCATTGCTTTGGAGGTGCCAGATCGTCATGAAAAAGAGATGAGGTCACATTGACTTTAAAAATATAGTAACTTCTTTATAGCTAAAAGTATATGCCCTTTAAGGTGTCCTCTCCCATAATGCCCCAGTTCAGCAAAATTTTGTAGCACATGTTTAGACATGATTAATTCCACTGATTTTAGTGGGACTACTCATGTCCATAAGGCTCGGCTTAAACAACTTGAACTAGATAGAACCTTCGTTTCCAGGGAACCTTCACAAGTAAATCTCAGCAAAGGAATAAATGTGTCCTGGCATGTAGTGGAATAAATATTCTTCTGATTCTGCCTGTTTGTTCACTGTCAAATAACTAAAATGATTAACACTGACAGGCTAATTGTAAACCTCTCCACATAAGTCAATTTGGGCCTAAAAAAAGAAAGGTTTTATATTTTCTACAGATGGAAAAAGTAGGATATACATCTCACTCTGTCTTCCTTGACAGATAGATGCATGGATAGTTATACATTTGAATGACAATTTAGATAAAGAAGTACTTTTGTATTCAATCTAAAGGCTTTCATTCTGCTACCACCAAAATCAATAGTAAAATTCTTACTAACTTTAGTGGGACTGGGATTAGATTCTAAAAAATATAATTAAAGAAATGAAATTAATATTCTTCATTTTCTTGTGTTCTATTTAAGTTTTTAACCTGTCTTTAATTTGTGCCTGCAATTTGTTTCTCATTCATTTTTCATTTGTTAATTAAAAGCATTATTCAAACAGGTCAGTAATCTCCTGTTTTAAATCTTTCTTTTGCTGATGTGGGATGAAGTCTTGGAATCTACAGTCCCCAGACCTGTCATAAGAAAAGATCTAATTCAGGTAAAATTACTGAGGTCCATGGGAACTATGTTTTAATAAGTGTTAGGGGGCTTAGTAGGGGTGTGTGAAATGGGCCCTATTCAATTTGGATTCAGATTCTGCCCCAATCAGGTTCGTTGATTCGGATCACTTGCCCAATTGAATTCGTCTGATCCGAATCTGAAGAGTTGATGCTGATTCAAAGAAAAAGCAATTCGGCCATAGACACAGCTTTAAATGTTTTTTTTTACATACCTCAAGGTACTAGGTATAGCATGTGAACACTGTGATGCTGGGGTGGGTGGAGCGTCCCACAGGAGCATGGGGGGGGCCACCCCACATGCTTGATGGTGAACCCAGAAGTGGACTGGAAGTACTTCTGGTTCATATCGAGGTCTGCCGGGGAGCACATGGGGTCCCCCCGTGACCCCTGGCTCGGCAGTCAGCAGCACGGGGACTCCAGGTGCCACCCCAGACCAAGGAGGCACCAGTTGCTGAGCCGGGGAGGCACAGGAGGCCCCACCAGCGTGCTCCCCAGTGGACCGGAAGTGCTTCTGGTCCACTTCCCGTTCTGCTGGAAAAGTGATCTTTGTATTAAATCACAAATTTGAAGAAACATAGGCCAAAAATTTAAAGCATCGAAATAGAAGTGGCAGGGATATTGTAACTCCCACTGGCTTAAGGGGGAGTTGTGGGAGCTTACCACTTGTAAGACTGTGAAGCGTTTGTCCCGGTGTAAAACAAATAAAAGGAGAATACTAGCCATACATTGGAAATTTCTGCTGCATAATGGAGGTATACAGCTAGGGAACATTAGACTTTACATCATTTCATCATGTTAGACATCCAATAACAAGATACAAAGCCAGGGTTATTACTATGTAATAAATAGAGATTCATATTCCTTTAAAAGGAATTCTGTGAAAATTATCCTTTATATTTTTATGGCCTTATGATGATAGGTATGCAGAGTTCAATTTGAAATTTATAATAGCACCCTATTGGTTTCTGCATTATATAAAAACCAGTTCTGTTGGTACACAATCTTTCTTCACAATGTTAAGTTTGTTGATTTGTCCTATTATCATAAATCCACAGTTGAAATGGTGAAATGGAGTGTTGTTGGTATAGTGCAGGAAATATAACTTTGGATAGAGAAATTAGAAATGAAAAGACTGGTTAGTATTAGTTCAGCACCCTGCCAGTTCAGAACTGATTCCCCCTGTTTGTAGTGGAAATGGTGCTTTAAATATGCCAAGTAATACAACTTCCTCTTTTTTGATTGGGAGACAAATTCCACAGGCAAATGATACATCTCACTTTTATTTCTGACCTGGAGGAACCTGAAACAGGAACATGGAATTTATTGTCTTATCTCCATAGTGACTTTGAAATGTTCATCAGAGCCTAATCCCCTGTGTATCCAGTTATTCATTGAGATTATGAAGAAAAACTGACTTGTTTTAAAACAATTCATATCACAAATGTGGATGACTTACAAGAAAATATAGTCACACTTTTTTTTCTTTTTTTGCTTTGCTTTGGCAGGTAAATACAATTGTCAATTGCACTTTTCATGAAACGCAGCATGAGTGGAAACTGGAAAGTTAGGGACAGACATTCAAAAAGCCTGAGCCTGAATTGATTTAATCTTTGCAGATTAGTCTAACCTGCTTAGGTTGAACTGGTCTGCAACTGCACAGGCGGTCCCTCTAGACTGAAGAAATGCAAGCACATGCCTGCAGTGGCTCAGGCTAGAAGCTGGGGAACATTAGAGCAGCCCTCCCTTCCCTTGTTCAGTGCTAAGATGCGGGGGCGTGGCCAGGCCACAGAAGGACACTCTGATTAGGAAGGGATGTAAACCCCCTCCCCCACCTGCACAGTCCCAGGCTTTTCCCCACTTGCAATTGGCTGTGGCCTCCTCCCCACCACCCTGGTCAGCAAGATCGGCTGTGGGGGAACACCCCCCGGTTACTGACTGGTCGCTGGGAGGGTGTGGCCAGGCCCCAGAAGGACGCTCTGATTAGGGAGGGATGTAAACCCCCTCCCCCACCTGCAGTCCCAGGCTTTTCCCCACTCGTTGCTCAAGGGGTGGGAGTGTTGCCAGCACTCTGAGGCAAAGGTGTGTGGGGGTGTGCAGTGCATACATCTGTTGATGATATTGAGCTTTTCAGTCTCCCTCTCCCTCATGGGTGACTGTTGCCTCCTGAGTCAGGGGGCACGTGTCCCCCCCAGCAGCTGATCTTGCCACCTGCGGGGAGTCCCCCGCCAACTGTGTACCCCCTGCCCATCACCTAAGCAGGGAGTGCTAGCTGTCAGGGGGTGCACGAGCACACCCCCTATACATTGCAACTGCTCTCCCTGCTCTTCATACTGTCTGCAAACCTGACAGGCAAGGGAGCCAGCGGGGGGGGCTAATAACACAGTGTTTATCAGCCCTTCAGCAAAATAAAAGCTCCTCTTAAACAGCTTTTTCCAAGGAAGGAATGGAGGGACATTACTAGCTGACCTGTTGATTAGCAGCAACACGTAGGGGGTGCACGGGGGTACATGTGCACCCCTTGAGAGTGCCGGTGTACCCCCTGAGCAGCTGTGCTTACCACTTAGGCGACGGGCAGGGGTGGCAAGCGGGAGAACCGGTTTCCCCCCCTGCAAGTGCTGGCCAAGGAGTGGAGTGCCGTGGCGCTCCCAGAAGCAGCCACAGCCACTTCTGGAAGTGGCCGCAGTGATTGGCCACAGCAATCCGTTGTCTTGCAATTGGCTGTGGTCTCCTCCCCACTACCCCGGTCAGTGAGATCGGCTGTGGGGGAACACCCCCTTGTCACTGACTGGTCGCTGGGGAGGGGCAAGCGCCCCTTCTGACTAAGGTGGCACCAGTCACCCATACGTTGATTAGCTCCAAAAAGCCCTATGTGGACACTGTTCTGCCTGTCCCTGTGAAATTGGAAACACAGACACCTCTCAGCATTAGCTAGCACAGCACTTCTCAACCTTTTGCACCTTATGTCCCACCAACCATTTTGTCAAAAAACTCTAGTCCCATGAACAGTGCAGCACGGCGGTGGCGGGAGCATGGTGGCAGGAGTGCGGCAGCAGTAAGTGGGGGAGCTCCTGTAGACGCTGCCAGCACTGGCGGGGGGTGGGGTGGCAAGCGCTGACCTAGGGTCAGTGACCACCCGCAGACACTGCTGGCAGTGTCGGCAGTGGTCAGTAGGAATCGTGGACTGCCCACAGACGCTGCCGGCGGTCTCAGGTGCAGAGTGGCGAGTGGCGGCTGCCTGCAGGTTCCACCAACAGTGTTGGCAGCGCCTCTTTGCAGGAGGAGCACCACCACGCTTAGGGGGTGCACGTGCACCCATGTGCAACCCTCTACACGTTGCCCCTGCCTGGTCCCACCATGGTAAAACAAAACCCCACTTTTTCCAAGAAGTATATTTTTACATCTACATGCATTTTAGTATTATATTAATCATTAATGGAAAATGTTAAGGACACTAAAAATTAAAAACTAGAAACTTTAACAATTTTGTTGATAATGTTTAATTGCTGTAATTGTAGAAAACAAAAAAAAAAATTCTATT